AAGGCAGTGTCTCCAGTCCAGGCAGCTGCTATCAAGCATGCCACTAGTCAGTCGAGTATCTCAAGCTCACTTGGTGCGGACTCGGGTGTTAATCTAAGTCCAACTCATAAAGGTGAACTTATGCTTACGGCAACATTCTGCATTGTTCATAATTTTATCCGTCTGTATCTGCACATCGCACGAGAAGCTAACATCATCTGCATAAAAAATACCAACGCTTTTATTTTCAACAGACATACGATTAATCAGCTGTTCCGTTACATTACAGAATCAGTGTTTGTTTGCTCTCGACGTCACCAATGCAACGTGACATTTAAAGCCCACAAAAACTAGCAGTATTTTCTTTACAAGATTTTTGTTGATTTTGTAAAAAAAAACATTGTTGGTGGTGAAATTTTTACATCGAACCGAAACGTTTCGGAAGAAATTGATCATGTAGATCAACTCGGCTACCCCTTTGTTGTTATACTTCATTTGGAACTTTGTCCCAACTATCATTCCAACGTCAGAATAACACAGATGCTCCTTCATCTCTAAGTGTTTCCAAACCTGTAAAAGATCAATTTGCTTTGGAATGTAGATTTACCTGCTATATCGATGAAATTTCAGATGAAAAGAAACCGGCTCAGACAGCGAGTTCAGCTCCGGTAGCCAAGATTGTCAGCGGAGGTATTCAGATGCAGTCCGACGTGCTGTCTCCTGATCAGCTGGAGGCTCTGCAGCGCAAATTAGCTGAGCAGTTGGCAGCATGCGGAATCGACGCCTCCGTTCTCTCGGGCGTTACCGCTGGTGACATGCCAGTTCGCCGTCCTCGAAAAACGGACGGAGCAAGACGGGGAGGACCAATGAAGGCCGAAAAGAATTCCATACACCCTCAGCTATCCATTCTTTAGGTGTGACTTATTTTACAAAATGTTCCCTTTTTCTTTTCTCTTGCTCACTTGGTACGCATGCATCGATTTTTCTTGGTTTTTATTTTTAGGGCGCAATTTTTTACGTGTCCATTCCCTTATGTAGAAGAATAGGTTTTTTCTAGTATTTTCTGTTCCATATTCTTATATATCAAGAGTGGCCTTATGTTACACACGAGGTGGTTGAACCTCGTTATGTTGTGATCATTTGTAGAATGTTTCTGCTACCAGTCGCACGGTGCCTTTCCCTTTCTGAGTGGAACTTCCCGTTTACGATTGTTAAGCCCTTTCCGTTTTTATTTCATTTTTATCGTTTTCTTTCCTATGCTGCTCGTATTGTGATTACACTATAATCGGACTGATCGCTGCGTGTCAGTGTCTACCTTGTGATTTACTTTGACTGCATTAGCTTCTTCTGAAATCCAAAAATTTGACGTTATGTATACACTAAACCAAAAATATCTATTACTCGAGTGGGATAAATAATTTATTTGCTTTCGCTTTACGTTTAGGCAGAGTGTATGAGCTCGCACATGAGTTGTGGGGGTTGCTTATGTTACTAAAGTTGACGAGACATGGGTGAATAGACTGCTTAACATCGTTTTCTTTTCCGATTTTGTGGCCAGTCAGAGCAAATTGGATCCTCGTTGGCATATGTTTT